GAGCAAGAACGCTCATTTGTACGTCATTCTAGAGAGAAATAAATGGCCTTTTTAGAAAGTGAACCATCGATAAGGAAATGTTGGCCGTTTTCTCATTTTCTCATTCAGTTTCACTTGTTCATCGTGCCGCATCCTCTCTAAGAACGTCTTTTGCAGACCAACTGGTTCCAAAAGCAAGAACGTAGTTGTTGCGTGAAATTTCGCTGTAAACCACAAAACTATGCGAAATATTTCAATTTGGATAAAAGGAACCGGACTGGGTGAATTACTGGAATGCTTGCAGTGCGGATCGTTGCTTGAGCGCAGCCCAGACCAATAGCCATTCTTTATCTTGATACCGTGATCTTTGTTTCGTTTTGTTACGTTTTACAGTTTTAGTTAAATAAGCTTATTTTATTTTATCGTTATTGCCTATTTTGTGTCCTACGGGCCATGGATAGTGGGGTCTGGTGCGCCATTGTCTTCCTCGAGCACAAAGCTTCACCAGGATTAATTGAATCTGTTTTTAGCGTGTTTACATGTATTGTGCTGCTGTGGAAATTAGTAGGTCCAGAGGACCATTACTGAACTGCAGCCAGGACTTAGAGTTGAACAGTTTTCGGTGATTATTGCACAAAAAAAACGCTATTAAAACACACCTCTGAAGATGATAGCCATGCGCCCACACGACGGCCTTTGGCTGACTTATTTTAAACCCACTGTTTCCTTGAAGCAAAATATTAGCGCAAAGATAAAATTTTAGGGCAACAAAATGAAAACACAACAGGACAAACAAGTTTTTATCTCCGCACATTTCTATCCTTTAAAAGATACAAACATTGCGGGATTATGCCAAAGGCCACATAACCAACATGGTTAATTGGCCGGAATACGTGCTCTATTGTGTTCTGATGTGGTCGTTTTCTTTTTAGCATCTTGTTATCAGGGTCATTTAGGCGAAATACGATTGGTCTAAACAACGTTCCTTAAATCTGCGCTTTCAATTTAAATTGTATTAGGTAGTAAAGCTGCTCTGTTTTGGTTCTCTGGCTGCGACTCTAAAATTGCCTCTATCTAGAGCAATAAGATGCAGTTTGATGGCTTAAAGCACTGGCCAAATGGAGATACTTATCAACAGAAAACCTACTAATTATCTCTAGAACAATGTATAAACTGAAAATAGTTCAAATTGTGGCAAATGCTGATCCTTTATGGAAAAATTAATGAAACTTCCTGAATAGTTTTCTGCGGGATGGAATTCGAAATCCGCTTCTGGATTGCGCTGATGGCCCTCAAGCCAAAACATTTCGTTTCGAAAACACTGTTCGAAAGTTTACTTTTTGCGCTTTTGTTCGGTTATTTAAATTGTTTATGTGCAATAGTGTGGCTACAAAGTATCATGTTCATTTAACTTTCGGCTGAAGTTTGGGGAAAGCGCCGTATAAGTTTAAAACTTTACCTTAAACTTAAATATCAACTTAAACTAGATCGTCTCGGAATCATAAGCAGATATGTAATATAGACGAAGTTTCCACTGTATAAGCTGAACCGGCGGAAAGTACGAACGCTGAGTTTAAAGTGGATTTTATAGTTCTTTTAAAATAGTTTAATCAGAATATATGTATGTTTAATTTAATGGGAATGGAAATGGGAAGTTTGCAAATGCAAATGTGGACTCTTCCAAGTGATTTTTCAAAAATAGATCTTCGGAAAACATCCATCGCAATCATCAAAGCAATCGCAATAAAAATGCTTTCGCCTGCCAAAGAATTCAATTTGGAGCGGAATTCATTTCGAGTCGAAAAATCAATTCTGATTCTATTAGAAAGAAACGATAATCAGGCAGAGATCGAATGCACCCTCCCCCAAATAAATTCGTCGGGAATTCGACAAGTTCAAAAAGTTTCCATCAGTTTTAAAAGTATCCCCGGCTTTCCAGTAAAGAAATGTGCCACTTAAAGACATGAGCAAAAAAGATGGGGCCATCTGTAACCAGCGCAGCTCGGCAATCCGTTCGAAGACACAATCGGGGCCAAAGCTGCACCCCGATAGATGCACTTTACAGTCTGATTGAATCCGATCAGTGTGCACTGCATACGAAACCGCCACTTTTGTTTAAACCCTCGACTTAACCGGCATTCGTGTCTCTTTTCCTTTAACTCCTTCAATACTGTTTCGTATCATGAAATCTGTAGAGGAGATGTTCACTTATTATTTGCCCCTTGAAAAAACACCAAAAATATGTTCTGCGGTCGAAGATTCCACGTTTTACACAGAAGAACGCGCAGAAATTATCTTAGATTGAGCTTCTGGGGAACCACAGCACATACATTCTATATCTGGAGTTTTCACTCCATTACAATACAGGCCCATTTCACATAGATTTTAATTGCGTTCCGATCTAATGAGAGATAAAGGGTATTCCACTATCTATCATGAAACTACATAATAATAGGACCTCGGTAAATCGGCTCTTGAACAGGGGTTTGCCCCGAAATTTATCAACATAGTTTGGAAGTGACGAAGTACTATTAAACATCGTGTTTTGCACTTGAGTTGTCAAAGCGAATCCCCATCCTGAATTCCTTCAAGTATGCAATTCGAAACTTCTTAAGGCATTTAATTGTGCAAAGTTATAGAGAGGGGTTGGGAAATTTCTTCCAAAAACAACTGCAGCTAGAAAAGGCCACACATAACAAAACACGCTTGGGCAATCGATTAATATCGAGTTATAATCCAGGGCGTATCCAGAGGGTTTGTGTCGGCTAATGTATTTTTTTTAATTTCATAGACAATTTGAGGAAATAAATACTTTGTATGATGGCAAATAGGTGCTGTTATTATAACTATATGCAGCATCAGATCCTTCACTATGTATAAATAAGTCACTGTCTTAATACGGGCCCGATTTGGATCATTAAAAAATTCGTTCTTAAGCGAGTGATTTTGGCTAAAAATCGTATTTTGCAAACTTGAAATCGGTTGAGAAACTTGAAAGTGATAACAGTTTGAAGGTCGAAAAAACTATTTTTCTACACAAATCTTATCCGTCAATGTTTTCTTTTTGGATTGAGAGTCGCAATTTTTTTGAAAAAACAGCTATTTGCCTGTGGAAATTTTCTGCATAACTGTTAATATTCGGGACGATTTGGGAATTTTTAAATTTGTTGAAAAATGTACGATTTTCTATAAAAACTGCATCTCGAMAAATCGGTTGAAAAACTTGGAAGTTTGATGATTCGAAAGTTGAAAAGACGATTTCCCGAACAAAAGCTTTGAATTWTTAACTCGATTAACTGATTTTCAAACGAGAACATGATAAAGTATTTTCGACACATTCACTGTCTATAAGAAAAATTGTATTTGCAACAGTTTRGGAGGAAATTGCCTCAGAAAAGGTCAGCAAACGTAAAACTMTCAAACTTGCGCATATTTTCAGYCTTTACCCTGTAACTCGGTCAATTATCAACATTTTTCAGAAATTCARAAACGGTTCRAAAGCTCATAKAGTTGGAGGAAAAAGTTGCTTCAGGGCCAAAGTTCATTATGGTCACTGTTTCAGTGCCAGGGAGTTTAAATTTGCAAAGATCGGAGCGCACCAATATTTTTAAACGCCAAAATGTATTTTTAGGAGCAACTCGACGGTTTAAAAAAATTGCAATTATTATTATTATTTTTTTTAATCGCAAATGTCGAAATGTTTCACTTAAGAGTCGAATTAAGAACAAAATTCCACTTTTGACCACTGACGACGTATTTTGTTCACTTCCCGTACCAAACTGCATATTTAGTCACCTTTTCCAAAAAAACTCAGGCGATTTTGATGCTTTTACCACTTTCCGAAAGCAGCGAACTACAGAATTAAGGTGATGAGATAATTGTTTGATTGATCGTCCCTTTAGATTTTATTGTTAACTGCTTTGTATATAAGTGCATATTTTCACGCAAATATTTTCTAACGCAGTTTCTGCTCCAAACCAGTTTGGATGGTGGCCGTGAACAAAACAAGTTTTCCAGCCAAAAAACAACATCTCCAAACCTTGAGCGAAATAGACTTTTTCATGCTAAATTAAATGCTCTCGGACTTTTGTTCGATTTTTGGTTATAATTTGATTCTAATGTTTCGCAAGCCCACATAGCTACCATCTTCAGAATTCAATGGGGGTTCTTCGAGCGAACACACTTCTGAGGATGGTAGCTGTGCCTACTAGCGAAACTCATCGTATTGAACAAAAAAACATTTAACCCTTTGCGTCTGTTGGCGGCGACGAACTCTTCAGATTTAAGCCTGGATAAAACCCGCAAAAAAGTAACAATTTTTCAGCGACTCATGATGAAGTGGCCGCGGTCCTGTTTTTAATTTAGCCAGGCCTTGCACTTGAAAAGGAACGGAAATCTGAAGATCCACAGTGAAATTTTAATTATCTTTCATGAGGGATTTTTATTTCACCGGCAAACCTTAAAAATTGGCAAAATTGTGAAATGAAACGCATAACAGGATAAAATAAAAGGAAAACTTGTTTTGTTCCTCTAACACCTTGGAGCAAACATTGTCGGCTGTCTGCAGTAAAACCCATTAAAACTGGCAAAGGAAATTTTGGCTTCAACTGGGGCCACAAGCGGCGGAAAACATGTCGGAGTCAAACAATGTTAGAAGCCGTTTTCCAGCGAACTATATATGCGATCAAAAGCATTCCGCGAGAATTAATTACTTATTCCCAGTCTGTCTTTGGCACTTCGCAGCCAGTCAACTGCTTATTTATGCAAAGGCATCATTCAGCACCCTTTTTGTCTGACATCCTACGAGTCACACTTCTTATCCCGGAACAATCAGAGTCGATGAAGACGCCCCATGCATTCATACGAGATCTGTCACATCTCATTCTCTTTCGTGCAGATTTCCTTGACGAGGTTTGTTTCAGAGGAGGCCTGACAAATGGGGCAAATCTCGCCCTAGTTTGTCAGTGTTTCAACCAGAACACTTCTTAAGTTGTTTAACCAAAAATTAACCGACTGATGGATTAGGAAATACTGCAACTTAAAAAACTAATAGGTTTATGGATGTGTGAGGTTGTCCAAAACTCATCAAGCTTTCTTAAACTAACTGTATTTGAAAGTGGCCAAAAAATCTAAATATCAATGGCACAGGAACGTTACACTTCAAAACTAGATCGAGCCATTGAAATGCTCCCGATATTTAAAAAACCCCAAATGTAGTTCGCATTGTTGGAAACTTTCAAACATCAGGTAAATAATGAGCATTTCCTCAAACAATAGCTTGCTCGCTTGAATGCGGCAAGGCAACAAGCCCTGCCGCATTTCCCAATCATTAAAACTGAAACTTTAAGCAACTAATATTCAACAGAGCTGAAACTTTTAAATGAATGCTCACTTCCAAAAAATGAAATTGAAGTATACGCTAAGCAAAAATTAATAAAGTGTTAAAGGTGTCGGTAAAAAAGGTGTAAAACATTATCAAAAGCGGCTTAATAATTAGACTAACTGTAGCTCAAGTAAAAATTAAACATACGGCGTTTTTACCGGTTGAGAAAAAGTCAACCTTTCCTACTAGGCAATAATCGCTGATTAAATTAATCGAAATTACTACTACGATGCGCTCACGTGGATCCCTTGAAAAACCTCCAATTTCGAATCAATTGATCATCGCTTAGTACCAGGGTTCGCGACTTGGTTGCGATATTGACCCTAATTTGATGTATCGGGCAGTTTGCGAGGCAATCGAACCCACTGGGGATCCTTGGGGAATATGTTGGGGTCCGCTTTGGGCCGCTTCCATAGCAGTGGGAACCTGATTACCGTCGCCCTTAAGGACGCCCTCCTGCTTCCACAGTGTTTTGCTGTGAACTGAAAATTTTGAAGAATGACTGCGGGTTCAGATGCGCTAATTGCGGCAGAACTTACTTCTGAACATTCGAACACAACCATCATCGCCGCTGGAACACAACACTGAGCCATTTACGTTCCAACAGACCCTCCATACAGTGGAGCCATGCTCATCGAATTGGGCCACTGTTTGTATATCTAGCTTGGTAATCCCACTTTGTTGAGACTGTTCGTCGCTGCGACAACATATTTCGTTCAGGTTAATTGTGCCTAGCCTTGGTTAATTTAAAGCTTACTCTGTTGGAGTCAGATTTATGATCCGTACGTTATTGGTGGCGACGCCCAGTATATGAAACGTCCTTCCCAAGTTTGGGGCAAAAGCAATATCGTGAACGGGTTCAGTGATGCACGAAACAGTGTCCAATTTTATCCATTTCCTACTGTTTTCGCTGTACTCGTAGATGAACACTTTGCCGCCGGATCCAGGCTCATCACTGCCAACCGCAATCATTGGTGGATGTGCTCTGGACAGGCTGCAATTCCACGTGAGGCAGCTCAAGGATAATTTGCATTGGACTTCATGTTGCAGTGTCCACTGGCTCAAATTCATGACATCGGGAGCTTCATATATCCTAATGATACCTGGAACAAGAAGCAAATTGCTCAGCTGATACAGTGGATTTGTATATGGAGATGTTACCTTCCGCTGAACATGTTGCTAGCTGCAAGCCCTGTGCTTTTGGCCCAAACTTCACGTCTGTAACAGAAGTCCGGGAATCGACTAAGTTGGTTCGGCGCATCCAGTGTCTTTGGCCGCTCTTGCCAGGCCCAGGAGTATCTCCAACTGCAAATAAGTTGAATTGTACGGGAAGAAACATTGGCATCAGGAAGCAGTTAGGATTTCACGGTTAATTCTTGAAACTGGTGGCTCGAATTTCTTCCTGGCGTTCCGGAAACACGGCACTCACCAGATCAACGGGAGATTGAAAAAATTAACTAGGTATTTAGGATGAAAATTACCAATTTCCTCCCAAACTGTGGCTGTTCTATCAAAGGAGCATGTGGCCAAAACTTGCCCGAATTCCGGATGCGCCCAGGTTACTTTCCACACTGAAGCACTATGCCCTTTCCAACATGAAGACAATATCCATTTGCCCTCCTCGTTTCTGTCCCACACCTACATTGGAAAAACCTTGTTAACATCCAAAACCCTTTACCTACCGCTGATAATGCTGATTTAAAGTGCTCAATTCCCTTAAGACACACTTGGTCAAAAGATTCTAAAGTAAACGGAAAATCGCTGTGAAAATGCCTAAGTTTAACATAAAACGCATGTTTACAGTTTGGACGGTTTTGGCCGACCCGATATCTTTTTGGTGGCTCACATTGCTTTCTAAGTGTTTCGTTTTTAATAAAAACAAGTGCACAGCAATAGAAAAACACTAGTGAATGTGTTATTACAAGCAAATCTTCATAGAACTCACTTTAACGTACTGATCACTCGAACAAGTGGCTATTCTATCACCGTAATAGTCATAAGAAACATCATGGATTAAATCCTTGTGTTCGGCAGATATTTCTTGGCACTCAAACATACTTTTAAGGAAATTGTTCTGGTTTTTTAACGGATATTTGAAAACACAGGTAAAACAAATTATAACCTCGCGAATTTGGGTTCAAAACAAATAACACACGGGTTGGACGTCAACTGGCTTGAGCGCTGTTGCCAAACGGGGATTTCACTATTACCTATGGGAATTTTTGGGCGCAGTTCACACATTCAAGTGAAATAATAACGTACAAAAATATAATATAAAAAAAATATTGGTAATAATACACGACATTCATTTCAAGAAAATTAAAAATGGAAACAAAAAAGGACGTTAGTTAGGCGTTATCGAGTAAATCTTGGGTGTTGAATTCTACATAAGGTTCCTCTTCGGTATCACTCAGGGCTTCGATTTTGTTGGTACTGCTACTAATTTGCTCCTGAATGGGTTTTCTTGGCAAAAGCTCCTCCTCTTGAACCACATCCCGAACAGGAATTCGCCTGGGAAGTTGAAATGATTGCAGTTCTTGATCAGCAAAAGTTGGATCTTGAGCCGCAGATGTGCTGGGAATCGGTGAATTATTCCGTTCTCTGGGCGAAGATGCTGAGTCGTCGGTGTTATATTTGCTCTTTTCATCGGAATCAGCCTGTTCCGATTCTGACGACGGCAAAGGTGAAGCTTTCTTAGAGCGAACATTTCTGCGCTTTGCCGGTGCAGACTTTTTTCGCCTCTTCATCTCAACCGCCGGATTTACTGTTGGTCTGCCTTGCCTGAACGCCATAAGGAGATCGTTCAGGTGCTGGATGTGCCTTTTTTTCTCATTGAGAATTGCAAGAAAATTGCTATGCAACGAAATGGTTTCGGATTTCCGGCGCTCCAGGAACTCGTCCAATTTTCTCTTCAATGTTTTGTTGGCTGAAAACGGCGTGAACATGCTTGACTGTATGTGCAAGAAAAGTGCTTGTAAATATTTCACCATTTGATAAGAAATTCGGTTCCAAGCAGCAACTGGGTTGAAGCTTGATACTCACCAGATTCAGCTAAATCATGCTGTTGCCTCAAAGTAGCCAGTTCATTGGCATTTTTTCTGTCAGAGGCGTAAAATTCATCCAGCAACTTTAACGCGTTTTCGGCAAGATTGACCTGAAAAAATTCATCAGCGCCTTAACGAAACGGGAAAATGTAACCAACCTCAGTTAGCCTGCATGTGAAAAAGACCATATGCAGTTGATCGCCTTCAAGCGGTAACAGAATCTTAAAACAACCAGCCTTAAATTCGAATTTTCCATTTTCTGGTGGCCTGGCAAAGAATGTTTTCAACTTGTCTGCGTAATTATTGCTGTTGTACTTGGGCTGCGCCTGCAAGTCTGCTTTGGTCAGCTGAAATTTAGTAAAACCGAATTTAAGTGTTTGTTTTTTCAGTAAATCTGAAGCAGTACCTTCGCTTTCCAGGCTTTATCCTGTTCAAAAACTATTAACTCTGGCCATTCCTCATGGTAAACAACACACAATTTCCAAACACTTCCATTACTTCCACATTGCGGGTAATAATAATGATTCATTTCAAATTTTAATCAAAAGGGACTGGAGTTTACATTTTGTATATTTTAGATTGTCAAAATAGGTTATTTCCAACTTGGCAGGCCGGAAGAGAAGAACCAAATTTGACATTTAACATACATTTTGTTTAAGTCATAACTGCACTTTTGTGTTGATAGTTTGTATTTGCTCATATTTGCTTGAAGAAGTTTCCAAATTTCAGTGTTATTGTGTTTTCTTGATTGTTTTCGGTGCAAGTGTGAGGATTTGGGGCCCATGAACAGCAGCCAACATGAATAGCGACGATCTCCCAATCAAACCAGAGACTACAGATGGGGCTCCTGGGGATTGTCTTCCTATTCCAAGTGAACATATTAAAACAGAGCAGGGGGTCGAGGCTCCAATTGCTAGGTATGTAAGTTGATTTTAACACCGTCCGATCTACCCACTGCAGGGGCGG